GGCATTCTAACATATACGAGGCAATTACTGAAACTCGGCTGAGCCATTACTCTAATCCCCTCGCTAACGCTACTTCGTGACGAGGTCTATCGACAGCGCTTGGCAATTTGCCAGGGGTGCTAGGTTGCGCTATCCAGCGCACGGCAGGTGGAACACGTTGTTGGGGATGCTGGGTGGAGGAAAGGGGACGAAGCGGGGGAAGGAGAAGGAAAGGGAGGAGGGAGGAGAGTGGTGAGTACCTAGACGCAGATCCAGGGGCACGGATAGAAAAGAGGAACAAGGGGCCAGTGAGGAGTGCGGAAACATTAGTAGTGATAGTGGCTGGGGGTGGTGAGTAATGAGTGTCCAAATACCGCTCTGCAGGCGGGGTTTGGAGACAGGATAGACAAGAGGAGCAAGCTTATTTATGAAGTTGTTTATGAAACTGATGCTTAAGTGAAGCTGGGAGATTTTTCGTTGGCTGAAAATTTGTCTCCAGTAGGGAGTTTCCGTATTTATGAATCTGATGCTAAGGTAAAGCTGAGGGCTCTCAGATTTTCCTTCACCTTATTCGCTTTCAGCTTTACCTAAACACCAGCTTTAAAGATGAGGACTTCCCCTACTAATGGCGGCTTTTCGCTTGCCTTCCTTGCGTTTACTTCTTGCTTTTACTTTTTCTTGCTTCCCTTCTTTCGATCCTTCACTCCTTCCATCTCCCTCTCCCTTACATGGCTTAGGCAACTACAAAGGGGCCTACGCCACGTATTCACTCTATCCACCTACCCAATCCCCACTCCTTGCCTCGAATCCTCGTGCGCGAAATCCACACGCACCACCCCCTCATGTCCACCCCAGCCCATTCCCGTGTTGTGCCCTCTGCAGTGTACTCCTTCCCGTACCCCGCGTATCAGCGGCAAGAACCAACAGCAGGGTTCCTCCTCCTTTCCGCCCAGCACCCCCTTCCCCTACATAGCCACGTCACGTAACCACTCCATTAACTTCCTCTCGCTACCTCCCCATGCCCAGAACCCCGCACACGCCCCTTCCCCCATCCTCTCCTCCACAATCATACCATCCGCAACAGCAGTGCACTCGTAACTGTGGAGCAAGATGACCCGAAGAAACCGTTCGCAGATCGTGTACGACACCGGCCCAGCCAATTTTTAGTAATTGCCCATATATATCTGTGGAAGGAGGCAGTCTAGAACTTGGCTCAGCCGTTGTCATACATGAGTCACGAGAAATTTTTCTTTGTGATGGCAGGTAACATTATCCCGCGATGAATGGCGGCGTTCGATGTGGTTAGGTAGAAGGGGATGTGGTTGTGTGCTGCGGGTTTCGTCGACAGAGGATGGAAGCAAGGGGAGAGAGGCTAAGGTGGACTTAATGAGTACGTGGTGCAGATCTTTTGTCACTTGGCTAAGTCGCGTACAATTGGAGTGGGGGGTGAAGAGTGATGGAGGAGGAAGTGCCCTGTTGGTTTTTGCCACGAATAACTGGAGTAGGGAAAGTGCTAAATTGCTCGTTTCCAGAATGCACTTATAGTCGGGATAGAGAGGAGTTCAATGTTGCTTTGCAACAGGACTTAGGTAGAGGGTAGAGAAGGGGAACGAGGACACAAGTCAGGAACAAAAAGCAAAAACTGAAGGCAGCAGTAAAGAGAAAAAGACAACACAGCACTACAAAGAAAAATAAAGTAAACCTGGACCTGTGAATAAAAAAAAAAAAAAAATAATTGGCCAGCGCAACGGCTATTGGTGCGAAGATGGGTTTTTTGCACAGTTTCCTGCAAGTTTTTGTCGCTAAAGACACTTTTTTTCAGGCAAATACTCCTAGCCAAAAGAATTGAGAATGGCCACCACGAAAGTCAGAAATTATTACAGCGACTCCCAATTCGTGCTCAAAAATCCAAGACTCTAAGTGCTTCGGCTACGGAATCATGTCAAATTTCGCGTGCCCGTGCGTGAAGAAGGCGTGAGTGCTGTTTTTACGCGTGTCTGCCCAAACGCGGTACTGAACTATACTCAGAAGATTTCAGCACTCCAACCCCTCTGGTTGCGAAATCACGTCAAACTTCACGTGTTCGTACGTGAGAGGAACGTGGATGCACTTCCACGTACGCTTGCCTAAACACGGTCTTTGGCAATGCTCAGAAAATTTCAGCGCTCCAGCTGATCTAGTTGTGGAGTTACGTCAGATTCACGCGTTCATATTTTAGACGTACGTGAGCCATGAGAAAAAGTGTGAAAGTTTTTTTCACATCCATCTGCTCTAACGCCGCCGCCGCCGCCCTCTAGCTGCTTCAGTTCTGAAGTTACAAAACTGCCTACGTGAAATCTTCACGTGTTCGTGTATGAGATGCAGAGAGGCTAGAAAGCTCTTTTACTTTCACCGGCATATCAGTGGGCGTCAAGTAACGCTGCAAAACTACAGCTCTTTACAACTTCTTGGCCAGCTTAAATCTGGAACTGACATGGCGTCAACTTAAGTTTTCACATGCACGTGCATGAGACCTAGAGATGCGTGTCGTGAAGTTCCAGTCTTTTTTCTTCCGTTCCCGAAACCACTTTCTCGCCAAAAAACTTCCACTTGCTCCTACGTGGGAACCACATGGATGTGTACGCCCGTTTTAGGAATAGGCCCTGTATATGCTTGTAGATTAGACTGCCAAAGTCTTAGCCTTGCAGATTTTGTAGTTCTCGAGATGAAGGCTCGGTACCAATGCACAAACAGACAACTTCTCGACAATATGCGTTTTTGCATTCCGTAGATGCAAAAACCGCGTAAAAAACTAAGCCTAATGCAACTGGAAATTATCCGATAAAAAGCTGTAGTCAGTAAGGAATTTTCCTAATCATGAAGCCCATGCTCCGGTGAAGCTGACAGCGATTATGTTCGACTGGATATTCACAAAAATTCTACAGAGTAATTCCAACCAACCATCATTCTTGTCTCTCCCCGATCCCGAACCTCCGTGGCATAACCATTACACCATCTCCCTCCTTCACTCACAAGTCTTCCCCACCCCCATCCCCCCCCCTCCCTCCCCCCTCCCAGAACTACGTTACCCAGCCATCATGCCAAGCTGTGCCGACAAACAATCAAAAGAGTGCTGGTGTTCCACTAGCAAAAAAAAAAAAACAGCACCTCCGAAAAGTGGCTGAGCCAAGCCAAGTTCTAATAAATGTCGTAGAAAGAGCATGCCGATAATTTTCTAATCAGGAATTTGATGTTTTCGAATAGGAAAGTGGACGTTCACGAATGCTCATATCGCGAGCACTTGCGGGTCGAAAAAGATCCGTGCAAACGTCTGCAACCACTTAGTCTAGTTTTCGTCTCAACCGACGGTTCAAGCAGAGACCATATTAACTCTCGCGTTAGAAGGATGACGACTACTTTGCAAATTGTACATCTGACGTGTCAGAGGCGTCCGCGAAAGCTCATTTTATGCTTTCAAGCCTGCATATGGACTGCAAGGTTCAGCTTGCCCATACATCTATTCCACTCTCGTCTCCAATCCTCTCTCTTTCT